GAGCCAGGAGGTCGTGGATTTAAACCCCAGGCAACTTACTTAACTTCTCTGAGCTTCAGTGTCTTCCTCTGTCAAGCAGGGATTATAACAAGGTGTGGTTGAAGATTAAGTGAGACCTGGACGTGCCAACCCTCAGTAAATTAGCTTTAATCACGGTGACAATAACAGTGAATGTTTGTGTTATGTGCCAATCCATGTCTTTGGGAGTCACACTGTGTATCAGTCACTTCAAAACACCCCGCACCACCTCCTCCCTGCCAGCGTGCACCTGCCCGTGCGGGCCTACAGCCTGGTGGCACCCGCTCCTCCCGTGCCTACCTGCCTCCCTCATGGCAGCCCGCAGCTGTGCCCAGTTCGGGTAGCCTGATCCGTTTTTGTCTTGCTTGTGGAAGACCTCCTGCAAAGAACCAAACCAAAGGCTAAGGAAGCCAGGCACTTCCAAGCACCCACTCAGAGCCCCTACGTGCCCCAATGCCAGCACCACAGGGACACTGTCAGGGACGTCTGAGGCTCCCCCAGCAGGGCCTGCCATCGGGATAAGAATGTGGTGGAGGGTCCATGCCTGGATCCCACCACCTCGCATTTTTTATGGAACAAGGCTGCTGAGAAAGCAAAAGGTCCTTTTGTCACGGGTGCAGACAGTCTGGGTGTAGGTGAATGTGCTAAGCACATCAGCCACACTTTGAAGTGGTTCCAACGGTCTGACTCAGGGGACAAGTGGGAGAATTGCGAGTTGTGAGCAATGACGGGAAGAGTAGGGCAGAGCCAATTTATGAAGGACTTTAAATGCCAAGTGTGCTAGGAGTTTGGACTGTCTCTGAAGCCAATGGGGAGCCTTAAAAAGCTTTTCGAAAGGAAGCAACGTGATGAGATACACGTTTTGGAAATTCAGGAGACTAGTGCAACAGGCTGTCTGAGTTTGGAGGAAAGGCTCGCTGGCCGGGGAGCAGAGATTTGGTGAATTGGATATAAAGGGCTGCAGGGGAGAGAACCGTGTTCCATAACTTTGCAGAATTGTCATTTCTGCACCGTCCTCTGCAGATGTGTGGTAAGGCTTGTTCTTACCTGATAGAGCATTAGCTGCTTCCACAGGTCCCTGAATTCCTGGATGCTCACAGTACC